TTGCTCCCCCCTCCCCTGGGGTTGTTCAAGAGTAGGTTAGATACGCATCTAGCTGGGGTCATCTAGACCCAGCCCTCTTCCCTGCCTATGCAGGGGGTCGGACTCGATGATCTATTGAGGTCCCTTCTGACCCTAACATCTATGAGTCCCTGGGCCAGACCGGTGGTACTCGTCCGGAAGCAGGATGGGACTATCCGGTTCTGTGTGGACTACAGGAAGCTTAATGCTATTACCGCCCCTGATGCGTACCCTATGCCCAGGATGGACACTTTGCTGGATCGCCTGGGCCCAGCCAAGGTGATCTCTACTCTCGATCTGTCTAAAGGATTTTGGCAGATGGCACTGGACCCGGATGCCATAGCCAAGTCTGCCTTTACCACACCTATAGGGCTATATGAGTTCACAGTTTTACCTTTCGGTATGCGCAACTCTCCCGCCTCTTTCCAGAGACTGATTAATAATCTGTTGCAAGGATGTGAGCAGTTTGCCATGGCTTACGTTGATGACATCGCCATCTTCAGTCAGGATTTTGAGTCGCACCTGATTCACCTGACCACCGTGTTAGGTAAGATCAAGCAAGCTGGTCTTACTGTGAAAGCCAAAAAGTGCCAGTGGGCACTATCTGAGGTAGTCTACTTGGGTCATCGTGTGGGTGGAGGTCATATTGCTCCCTTGTGGGACAAGATCGAGACCATCAAATACTGGCCGCCTCCACAAACCAAGAAGCGAGTCAGAGCCTTCCTGGGCCTGGCGGGTTACTACCGAAGATTTGTCCCTGGGTTTGGGGCATCCGCCGCCCTACTGCACAAGCTGACCAAGAAGGGCAGCCCGGACCTGGTGGTTTGGAAGCAGGGGTGCCAGGAAGCATTTGACACCCTCAAGGCTGCCCTGGTCAAACAACCAATCCTGAAGGCACTGCTCTATGATAAACCCTTCTATGTGACAACGGATGCCTCCGACGCAGGACTAGGAGCTATACTCTTACAGGAGCACCAAGAGACACGGCAACCCATGGTGTACCTCAGCTGGAAGTTAATCCCTCGGGAGCGGAACCTGTCATCCATCGAGAAGGAGTGCTTGGCAATCGTCTGGGCACTGAGCAAGCTGAAGCCCTATTTATGGGGACAACAGTTCACCGTCCTGTCGGACCATGCCCCACTGCAGTGGTTGCAGACCATGCAAAACACTTAATGCCAAGCTGCAGCGATGGGCCTGGCAGCTTCAAGAGTTCAACTTCACTGTGGAGCACATCAAGGGAAGCCAGAATGTGATAGCAGATGCCTTGTCACAAAAGGACACTGGGTAGTGGGTCCTCTGGGCTTAGGACTAGTGAAGAGATCACTAGTGTAAGACTGCCCATCAAGTTTTATGGTTTCTGTATGTTATTGTTATAACTCGTTCCATGTTTCAGGTTTTCTTTTTTTTCCCTCTTCTTCTGGCATCCCGTGGGAACTCCCTGACCTGACACGCCCGGACCCACGGCCCTGAGAGGCCCTGTGTCCGGGCTTATAAAGAGCGGGGGGGGGGGGGCGAGAAGTGTGGCAGAAAGGCCACCGTCTGTGCCCCTCTCCAGAAATCTGTCTGTGCTAGCGTGAGAGGCTGGGGTTGAATTCCTCAGGGCGGGGATCTACATGACAAAAGTCTGGTGCCTTGGAGGCAGATGCTCTGGTCACCTGAGGGGGGGAAGCTCTCTCTTCATAACCGCTTGCTCAGAGTGACCTGCCTCCAGAGGGAAACTCCAACCACCTCTGGATGATGCATGTGAGTAAGCTACTCGAGATCAGACTAGATATTTAGCTTACAGTAACTCAGATGCGTGTTCAAACAGCTACCTCAGTCACACTGGTTTGCTCTATGGGATTCCTCTGATATTGCTCTACCTTTTACTCTGTTTCCGCCCTACCCCCTGTAATCAATAAAGTTCTCGTTGTGACCGGTGTGGGAGACTTATTGAGGGGTGGGTCTAAATTATGCCTAGGAGGCCCCTTAGGTCAGTGGACTAAGGGAGGCTTCCCTAATAAGCCCCTGACTTGGGGAAGTGTCCCAAGTGCTGGTATTGGGTCTAGTACCCATTGGACGATCAGGCCTGTGTTTTCCAAGGTGCGCAGAGCCAGAATTGAGTCCAGAGCCTTGGATGGTGGCAGTGGGAACCCCAGGCTAGCGGGTGTGCTCCAGGGAAGGGGTCGGCCGGATGTGAGGCACCCCAGGGAGGGCACTCGGAGCCTGGAAGGTGGTTGCGTGCTGTGAGGTGGGCGGTTCAACACAGGAGCGCCCCCTACTGGCCTGCCACAGGAGACACCATCTTATAGAGTTTGCATCCCCTTGTCAACCTCACAGGTAACATGGCTGCAGAAAGACGCGTCAGCAAGCACCTCTTGCAGCTGCTACAAGTATTACCATTCCCCAGTATAGGTGGCAATGGAAACTGGTGATACTTGATGATAGGGATGAGCAGGAGTAGCTGCAGTAGAGGCTGCACCAATACCTCCCCTTGCAGCAGCATGAGGCTGATGAGAGGACTTGCATCCACATTAACCTCCTGACTGCTAGCTGTTTTAATGCTTCTCTGTCCATGGTGGCAAAGCTTCTTACCCCAGTAAGAGCTGAACTTCCAGCTTACCTGTCAGCATCATGGGTGGAGTCAGCTGTGGCCAGAGCAGGTTAACCTGCAAGGGGTGTAGCCCATGGACCTATGTAAATCACAGCAGAAGCCCTGCCCCTGCCCCTCTGCTGCTGAGTGGCTAAGGCAAAAACCACAGCATTAATTGCCTCTTGGCTACTCAGCAGCAATGGGGTGGAGGGTGTGTGGCAAAAAGAGCGAGATTAAAGGCACCACTGGGTTGCAAACTGCTGCATTTTAGGTAGGTTGCTACCAATGGACCAATTGAGTTTGCCATCCCTGCTGTATAGGTATTAGAAAATTTATTAAATTGACTATTAATTTCTTTGTTTGGACTCTGTAAATGTGGCAGCCACTGACACTTCAGGTTTTGTCATTTGGCACTTCTGAGGGAATGCCAGTCCTGGTAGTATTTCTTATTTTAACAGTAGGTTATATTTTGAATGTGTGCTCTTTTGAAAGATTCTACCAAATGCAAATATATGTGGACCTTAAATTGCAGGTGCACAGAACCATCAATAGGACTTCATTATTTTTGTTTCTGACTGTTACAGTACTTAAATTTAATAGCAACTTCCTTTAAAGAATCCTGTATTGTTTTACAAATAGTAATGAATTCTGATTTCCTCCTTTCAAATGTGCCTCCATTCTCATTTTTACAAACATGGTCATAGACCCCTTAATTTCCTTACTGTGTTGTGGTGTAACAGCAAAAATCTTTCCGATTCCAAGCACCATTCTAAAGAAAAAGTAGTTTGTTTACAGTTAATTTTAGCTGTCAAATAATTGATTGGATAGAATTCCTATTACAATGTTACTGATATTTGGCTATGGGCTTTTCCCTGCTGTCTGACCTTTGCTGCCACAACTTGGTGGGACAGTTTTATGGAGAAAGTAGAAGCCGTGCTCAGCTAGGCATTTGTCTACAGTGCCAGCACAGGAATTTTTTTGTGCTATGACTAGACATTGGAAAACAACTCTTTATGTTAAACCTCTTGGTGCAGTTCTAGAGAACTAAAAATGAAACTATTTCAGTGATGAGGAAAGCCTTTAATTTTTGTGAACTTCATATTTTATTTTAGTTTTATTTTCCAGGAATTAATGACTACATTACCAAATAACCTTTAATGTAATGCAGCCAGCATATAATGTTCAATTGTTTGAGGTCTACTCCTTTGCTTTTTCAGATGATAAAATATGGTGTAATTGGCACAAAGTTCTTGATTGAAGATTTGCTTCACTGGAAAACTCTCTATGTTGCTGGACGCCTACAAAAGCCGGTAACTACATTGATTTGTTTAGTGCCTTGTACTTTAAATATGGAAATACAGAAAAGAAAAAAATCAGATGCCATAGAAGGTAGTAGGGGTGTAGGTTGTAGTTGTGTTGGTCTAAGGATATAGGTGGACAAGGTTCTTTAGGTGAATCTGATATCTTTTATTAGACCAACTTAAAATTTGTCTGCTTATAGAAAGTAGGGTTAATTTTCAGGTGATCACACTCTCTCTAAGGCAGTACTTAACTGTTCATCCATGGACTAGGGGATACCGTTCTGCTGGAGCACAGCCTTTCAAATAGGAAATAAAGTAGAAGTTACTAGATAGACTACCACATTTTAGCTAAATCTGGGCATAGCATTTGTAGCATCTTGGTCAGATCATGTTTTAAATAGCTGGATTGTACTTGAGTATTTGTAAAAGGATAGTATGGTATTAATTATGACATACATTTCAGGATTAGTTGTAATTTAGTGTAGCTAAGAAACTGATATTTTTCAGAAAGAAAGCTGCTTTTCCATACCAATATAATCTATCTCATTGTATTATTACCACACCTCCGTTCAGTGATATGGACTGTGTTACATCAGGGATGCTTGGATAGCCTCTCTGCAGGTCAGCATTGTATGAAACGTTTCTTAAATGTATACTTAAGCATTCTGTTAGACCTCTAGGTGGCAGCTAGTCTGAGTTAAGTGGGAGAGAGAGCTAATTTCAAAACTCAGGAAAAAGTGTGAGAAGTTGCCTTTATTAGTGTAAAAAAAATCAGTAGCAGGAAGCTTAAACGGTTAAGTGTTTACCTGAACCTGGATTTTTTTTTTAAAGGTTTCTTTCATTTTGAACCCTCATCCTCTCCAATAAATGTATTATATTTTTAACTTTTTTGCTGGAGCTTTTGGTCTATTCTGCTTACAATGGGTATAGCTTGGCCATGCTATGAATCCCTTATTTACCTCAGAGGAAGTTGTGCACTAAAATGTACAAAACATTTTGGCACTCTACATTTAAATGCTCTTAACAATAAGTAGCCAGAGACCTTTTCATGCATGTGTTTTTAATAAGCAGGAAGAAGTATTGGTCCAAATCCTTTTTATTAAGTTAATGAGAGTTCTAGCAAGCTAAAGACTTTGTATTTAATTCCATTGTTCCACTATAGGTATGTAGCTGAAGACTTGAACCCTCTCTCCTTGTATCCATCCACATGTAGAGCCAGAATATATAGAGTTAATCACCTATTAGGCAATTGGAACTTGAAACAATGTCACTTACACAAGTTATTAGCAAACCTTCTGTTTATTAACCTTCCAATTATTTTTGGTAAAGTTTTTTTCTTTTGGTGGTGGCAGGTCCACCACTTGTTTGACATTCTATTCTGGTCTGTAAGTCCTTAGAATGAAAGGTTTTCCCTCTGTAAAATATAAAACATTTCCCTGAATCAAGAGAAATCAGGGGGAACATTATACTTAGATCATATCAAGTTATTTTCTTTTTTACAAAGCTGAGAAATTTGTACACTAAGCTTCATGGTAAGGATATAATAAAAATATGAATTCTATATTTTTGCATATATACCATGTGTATAATATGAATTTTTGCAAGTACACACCATTTTACTATCTTTTGAAAATTTTGGCTCCTCCAAATGCTCTAATAATATATCTGCCTCAGTCACCAGTTTCTTGTGGAACATGAGCTATTTAATAGTTTTTGAAAAGGTGTTTTTTTTAAACACCCTTAAACATCTGTTTTATATTTCCAATAACTACAGTGTCTGCTGAGAGTTAGTTGTCTTAACTATTGATTCCATGTACTGTAACAGTACTCAAGTGCTTCCTAAAAATGAACTTTGCTTAAGTTTGTAGAAGTAGTTCACTTCAGTGCTCTGTGCTTTAGCAGAAGCTAAAGAAATAATAGTTTTCATTTTATAGCAGTGGTACTCAACCTTTTTGTCCCACAGGCTGGATGAGTGGGACCCAGTCAGTCTACAGGCCAGATCCAGCTGATGAGCCCTATGTGCAGGGGTGTAGAGGGAGGTGGGGGAGGCAGCCAGCCTGACCCCAACCTGGTCACAAAGGGGGAAGAGGGTGTGGGATGGCTGGATTTGGCCCGTGGGCCAGGAGGTCAAATACCCCTGATTTATAGAAGTCTTACAATTATAGGTTAGTACTAAAAAGAGGAATTTTCCCATGTTTTTCAATTGTCAATTCATAGGAAAAGCAAACATACGGAAGCAGGGCTGTGTTTATCTAGGAAGGGAGCTAATGTGTGTAAAGGTCTGCTTCATGCATGTGTTAGAGCAGCATCAAAGGAGCCTGTAAAGGGAAAAAATGTAGATTGAAGATCCTGTTGGCTTTCTACAAAGAGAATTTTTATCTCAAGCCATCCTTCCTGCCTGCCTCCTATATGTTACTATTGGGTGGTAGTCTGCTTTTTATTTCTTTCCTATTCAGCAGGGATCCTGGCTTTCTATGATTTAAAAAAAATCCAAAATTTTACGATAAAGAATCCAAGACTCGTGTTTTTCCGTGATATTAAAATGAAATGCCATATACAAATTGCTTTAAAATTGTAAATATATCAGATATGCATACATGCATATAAATATATCCGATATATTTACAATTTAAAATTCTATAGGCAACCCCCACTTTAACGTGGTTTCACTTAGCGCTATAGCGCTCATTTAAAATTAATGCCTAATTTCAATTAGCGCTGAGCCAGTTTCACTATAGTGCTCAGTGAAGCAGCAGCAGCGGCAAGAAACGGTGAGTGGCAGCGAGTAGGTGGCCTCCAGCAGGGACCCAGGGCAGGGCAGCAGGAGCAGGGTGGGGGTGGGGAGAAGCGGCAGGGGCAAGAAACAGCAAGTGGAGGGGCAGGCGTGAGTGCGGGGCACCTGCCAGGGTGCCGGAGCCGGCAGGAGCATGGGCCACGGGATGGCACATGGGGCTGGAGAAGTGGAGAAAAGCAGTGAGTATGGGGCCCCGTAGTGCCGGAGCCGGCAGGAGTGCGAGCTGTGGGCTGGTACATGGAGCAGCCAGCAGGCAGGCGGAGAGGTGGGGAGAGGCAGCGGCGGTGGTGAGAAGCTACGGTAAGCAGCAGTCACCAATTATTTCTATTTACATTAATGCCTATGGGGAAATGAGTTTCGCTTAACATGGTTCTGCTTAACGCTTGGTTTTCCCAGAACCAATTAAGAGCATTAAGTGGGGGTTGCCTGTGTATGTATCAAATTTTGTGTGTGTATTACCAGGGTGCATCTACATGTATGCTTTAATGCTCAGTAACCTATTTTACTATGCATTAAAGTGTTGTGTAAAAAATCTGTGCAAATAGGCTACTGCACATTAAGCGTCACTTCAAAAGCATGCACTTTCGCTACTGCACGTTAGGGCAGCCTAATGCACATCTATTTCGTACCTCCAACATGAGGCACTAAATAAATGTGCACTAGGCTTCCCTAATGCGCAGTAGTGAAAGTACCACTTTTTTAATGTGTTAGGAAAAGCACATTAAAGCGCATGTAGATGCATCCCCAGTGCCTCAATCATTATAATTTAAAAAATTCTAAATACCTATATATTTTGGGGTTTTATTTTGGTTTGTTTATCTTTGAAAATCAGAGCTCCCCCTGCCCCTTCTCATCAGGATGTGGGTCCAACTGAGGCTGTCCTGTCCTGCTGCTTTGTGGCATTGAGCAGCCCTGATATGCCAGTACCTCTCGCTCCCAAGCCATAGCTCCCCCCAGGTCTTCCAGTGTGACCCACACGCCTCTGCCCTTCCACTGCCAGCCCTGCCAGCATAATTTGCAGGCGTAGCTGGCCTTAGGAGTAGGCAGTGAAGGCAACTGCCCAGGGCACCAAAGTATGGGGGGAATGTCACACCACCGCAGGGCAGGCCCCACCTCAGCTGGGGTGGGGCAGAGGGAGGAGGCAGTAAGCTGGAGGTGCCCACTATTCCCAACCCACAGCTCCCTGCCCCCCAGTATGGGGTGGGGGTGTGGGGTAGTAGGGGTGCTCGAGCATAGGTGATGCCACAGGCAATGTGTTATGAGAGCCTGGGAGGGCACATGCTCCACCCTCAGATTTCTTTCCCACAGTGGGGCACAGTGCTGTAGCCAAGCTGGACCGGCACTAGGTAGAAGCCACCTCTGCAGCCCAGCAGGCAGGCCCCGGCACGGAAGGCAGAGTTGGATGCTGGGATTCGTTGCTGCTGCTGCCACAGCAAGCCCCACAACAGCTGTGCCACCATGGTGAAGCTTCCCCTGCCCACCACTGCAGTGGGGAGGCAGAAGCCACCCCCACTGTGGTGGCAAGCAGAGGGTACGTTACCTTCACAGTGTGGCTGATGCAACCATTGCCGTGAGCCCTGCAATGAGTCTCACTGCCCACCTCCACCCTCCTGTGCTGGCTTCTGCCTACTGAGCTACAGAGGTAGTTCCTACCACTGATGACAGCCTGTGCCCCACTGAGAGTGCAGAAATCTTGGGGGGCATGTACCCCCTACCCCCTCCATGTCCACCCAGCACATTGACACTGGTGCTCAACCCTTCCCCAGGAGTGTACACAGTGGTGAGGAGCAGACTTCATGCTCCTTCCCTCTCCTTCCCCTTCCCCCACAGACAAGCTGCCTGTGGCTCTGTGCCACTCCCTGGCCAAGGCCCTTGCAGTTGCACATTCTAGCCCTAGGCACCACACAGCACCCTCAGCCACTAAACCTGCCCTGCTCCCTCCCTCACCACGTGGGCTTAGTGTGAGCCGCCACCTCCATTTCCCAAGTTGTGTGTGTCACCACTCCTCCACCACACACACACACACACACGCACACACACCCCCTATGGCCCCCCTCCTATAGACTTACCTGCAGGCAGCTGTGGGAGCTGCTGTCCACCATGCTGCCTGGGGCTCTGTTACCAGCCATTTGCATGTGTGCATGCATACACATAACCATGCTACCCTCTGCCTCTTATCACCCTCCTCCCACTCTCCTCAGTCCCAAGCAGCCCCTTGCAGGTTGGAACTCTGTCAGCCTGCAAGGGGGAGCCCATAGTTTCCCACATTTTTCTCCTTTAAAGGAAAAAATCCATGTTTTCCCATGGCAAACAGAAAACCCAGATCCCTGCTAATCAGATATGATATTTTCCTTTTGATGCAGGTAGAATTATTATTTTAACTAACCTGCTTTTTTTCTAAATCAAGGAAAAGGAAAGAGCCACACAGAAGCTAAAGAGGATCTGATACTTTTTATTTATAACAGTCTTGTAATTATAACCTGGCACTAAAAATGGGGATTTAATACAGATATTAGACCCTTTTGGCTTAATTGCACTGTATTATGCATAAATGATCTCTTACCATTAACTTTATATTTATATTTTCCTTTGGCTGGAGTGATACTTTTCAATAGTTCTGTCTTCAACAGAAGTTGCTTCATGAAATCTTGCTTTTGAATGCTCTTGTTTGTTTGTTTGTTTGTTTTTCCCCCCCCAGGTAAAAATTCTGACCCAAAATGAGAATGGCAAGCTACAAGCTGCCCTTGTTAGCAATTTGAAGAGTGCAGTCACAGCAGCCTTTCTCATGTTGCCAGAAAGTTTCTGTGAAGAAGATCTCTATATGCAGATTGCAGGACTTTCCTACTCTGGTTAGTGTATACGTTTATAACCTCCTTTGAGGAGTAAAGCCTGTGTTTGGGGGAGTCTCATATATTGTAGGTGGAGCTGTAGTAATTCATGTACGTTGCTAGGGATAGTAGGAAGTCTGAGCCATAAACTCAAGAGTAAGTAGGCCTTGGTGAGACTATTAAATCTTTAATGTGGCCTGATTCTGCATGTGAATTTGGTGACAGTTTTGGTATTGATTTCAGTTGAAAGAATCACTGTCCCATTACGTGTGCCAACATTTCATGCTCTGGTAACTTTGTGAGATTTTGGTTCCAAGGGAGATAAATTGAAAAGTATAACTCAATCCAAAGGGAAAAAATAAATATAAAATTAATGTAAGATCACTTGTGTATATTATAATGCAATTAAGCAAAGGGGGTCTAATTTCTATATAAAATTTTCATTTTTAGTACTAGCAATGAAAATGGTTTGGGGGGCTAGGGCATATGACTATGAGGAGATACTGGGGGAACTGGGCTTATAGAACAGAAGTTACACACAAACTGGTTTAAACGATCATAAACTGGTTTAAACATGTAACAAAACAGAAGTTCAGTCCAAATAAACCTCTTTCAAAATGGCTGAAACTGGTTTAAGATAAACCTGGCTGAATGTAGTATTAGACTTAACTGATTTAGGTCATACCGGTTTACAGAACTTCTGTCTTAGACCCCTTCCTGGTTTAAGTTAACTTGCAGTCCCCCAACATCCCAGGATGCTTTGCAACCCTGGGCTGGACTAGGCTGGGCTGTCTGCTCCAGCAGAGCAAGTTTGGCCCCAACCCTCTCCTCCCTAGCCAGAGTACTATCACTGCTCTGGCTGGCTGAGAAGGGAGCAGGGGTGGGAAACCCAGTAGCTTGAGGGGAAGGGAGGGGTTTAATCCCCCCCCTGTCCCCATTCCCACTGGCATAGGACCCCAGCCAGGGTCTGCCTGGCTGCTCGTGGGTACTGCTTGAGCAAGCCGTGGTGCTCCAGCTTCTTCGATTCTTCTTTCACTGTCTTTAACAGCTTTTCCTTTTCTTGCGTCTCTTTAGTTAAAGCTTTGTGTGTCAATAGTAACCTTCCAGAATGATTTGTTTCTTTTGTCTTTTTATTCACCCAAGGTTTATATACTCAGACTCTGAGAGGACCGCGGGTCACAAAATTGTACAAACACACCTGGTCGACAGAATATATTCTTACTCCAAAAATCTGGAGCTCTTTTTCTTATTGTCCACTTTTCTAGTTCCAGTGCTCTTATCTCATCAAGCCTACCATATCAAGTCAATCCAAAAAGAAGTCAAGTCCTGAATTCCAACTTCATCTGTACTCCCTCCCTTGCAAAACCAGTTTGGCAAGTTTAAGTGACTGAGCCCTGGAACAGATTTCACAATCCTCAACAGCTCTAAGTTCAAGCAGCCTCCAGTGTCTAAGTCCAGCATTAAACAACATTTCCAAGTCCTGTGCACAGTGAAGTCTCTCATTCCAAACAAATTTAATAGTACCCACCCAGGGAAGGGGAAAGCTTCAGCGCTCCTGCAGTGAACAGGGGTGGGGGTGCTGGGGATGCTTGGCAAGGGCTGCTGCCCCCCTCCTCCTCCAGGCAGACCTCAGCTGGGGATGATGCAGGCCAGGGTGGGGTTTAAGTCCCTCCTCAATCATACTCAGCCTGGCCACGGCCCCCTGAGCTCAGCTTCCCTCTAGCCTTCTGGCCACTGCCAAAGGAAAGGGAGGGCTCTAGTACTCCCCAGCTTCTAACTTGAGCCACTGCAGGCATGTGACTGCGTTTCCGGAATCAAAAGTGAATGTCTTTGTTTGCTTGTCAGTTCAACCTATGCAGGTTAAACTAACCTGCAAAGATTGAATCAATTCGGGCTTGGGCTTTTTGAATGTCTGTACTTAGGCATTTAGTCTGCATAAGAGAAGACTGAGCAGGGGATTTGATAGCGTCCTTCAGCCACCTGAAGGGTGGTTCCAAAGAGAAGGAAGCCTAGACTGTTCTCAGTGGTGACAGATGACAGAACAAGGAGCAATGGTCTCAAGTTGCAGCAAGGGAAGTTTAGATTGAATATTAGGAAAAAATCTTTCTTACTAGGAGGGAGGTGAAGCAGTGGAACAAGTTACCTAGAGATATGATGGCATCTCTGTCCTTCGAGGTTTTTAAGGCCCAGCTTGACAAAGCCCTGTCTGGAATGATCTTGTTGGGGACAGTCCTGCTTTGAGCAGGGGGTTGGACTAGATGACCTTCTGAGGGCCCTTCCAACCCTAATTTTCTGTGATTCTATGAATGGCTTTCTGATAAAGCTGTGATAGCCACTTTATGCTTGCAGACCACAAAAACGATACTTTTTCTGTAAAACTTCTAAAAGTAATGTTCCTTTTTGTAGGTACACAAAACTGTTTCTCAAGACTACCTGGCCTGCAAACTTGAAAAAATTTGCCTTAGATAATAGGAAAATGACCTCATTTTCATATTGAGGTGTCCTGAACTGAAAATTCTGTTTTCAGTGTTTCAAGGGCTTGAAAATAAACTAGGTTCTTTTCTCCACTGGGAAAGGGTGAATCTGATTTGTGTCTTAGCCCTGGGGTGTCAAACATATGGCCTTTAGGCTGGATTTAGCCCATGGAGGTGCTCTGTCCAGCCTGTTGGACTACCAGCAGGCCACTAGAAGTTGCAAGGCATGGCCGGGAAGACTGGCCTACTTAAGAATCCAGGACCCTTGGGCCCCAGTAGACATGGATGAACAGTGGCTGACCCACCTCTGGTCACCCTCTGGCCACTTTGCCTGTCAATACTGCTATGATCCTATCTCCCCAGCACTGGCCCCAGCTGCAATTCCCAAGCTTGAGCTGCCACTGCAGCATAGGGTGTGCAGCAGCAGCAGCTCTGGCTTCAGTACAGGGCTCACAGCAGGGGCTGGAGCTGCTATTACATGTCCTGGGTCAGAGCTGGAGCTGCTGATGTGGCCACCAGAGCTGCTTCTATGTGCTCCAGGTTGGAACCAGAACTGTTACCCACACTTCCTCATGCCCTGTGCTGGGTCCAGTCCGGAAGGAGCCCCATGGTTTGAATCTGGCCCAGGTCACAAAATGAATTTGACAGCTCTATCTTAGCTGATCCATTCCCCTCCCCCAGCCCCTCCATCTGTAGTTTTTCCAGTGTTTGAGACTTCCTATGATCCTAAATTAGCCAGTGAATCAGAATGATGATTCTTGCTAGCGATGAGTTTTGCTTGACTTGTACAGAATGGTGAGTCAGCCTTTGTGCGTGGATAATGTTCCTTCTCAGGCTGAGAGAGAATGGAGGAAACTAATTGTCTTACCATGTAAATTCTAGAACACTTGCCAAAAGTAGCAGCTGACAGTCCAGACAATAACTGTGTACACTGTTGAAGAACTTGTTAGAGTCTAACTAATGTCATAACCTAATGTGGTGGGTCCAGATCCTAAAGTCCTTATTGAAATTGATAGACACCTTGCTTTAGGCAAAAACTGAGTAACTTTTGTCTGTCTTACAGATGATTAGGCAGGTGGAAAAGAATAAAAGCATAAACAGTTGAGCTCCTAAACTTTCTCCTTAATTGAAGATTTTTTTTATCCCGTAAATTTTAGCCTTCTCAAATAATGAAACATGAAAAAATTATAAAAACTCCTGCTAAAGGGACTTACTAAAATATGCTATTTAAAAGATCATTAACTAATCTTCTAGAGGTGTACCAATACATTGGTCCATTGCTGCTTATTAAAAAGCAAATTTATTGTGGAGCAAAATACACGTAGATTACTTTGTAGTAGTATTCTGTGGCATGCATGTTATGTGGCCACATCTTTTCTTGCAAGTTGCACCTTAGGGGAGGTTACTTTAGTCATGAAATAAAAAAGTGCAGATCATTAAAAATGCAGAAAGTCAAAAAAAACGAATCAAATTTGTTCCCTTGCAGTTTTGTGATAGGGTTCTTTGCCGGCAGCTTTTGCTTGAGAAGGTGACATCAGTCATAATATGATGCTGATTGCTGGTATCTGTGCTCCAAATTCTGCCCTCAGAATGGAAGCAGTCCTGCATTATCTCTCTACCCATGCTGTTTTTGGGGTGCTTTATAACTATACTTGATTGCTTGCTGCAACTGTTGCATAAATGTGAAAAACTTACACAAGTTAAAGGTGTGTGCATCTTTTTTTCTCCCACCTTGGAGACATGGGCTGAGGGTGTTTAATTTAGAGGGATAGGAAGAGTGTTTGGTGTTTTTTTTTGTTTTGAGGGGGAGGAGGGGTTAGCAAAATGTGAACACTGGGCTTTTGGCAGAATAGCATGATAAAGGACCAGGTCCCGTCTTTGACAAGTGTCTGAAGAGTATTTCATTATTAGAAGATGCACTCCGTCGGGGAGTGCATGTGGCTTGAAAATATTTAAAGATTACAGTGTTTCAGATAACTTTGGTGACATTTTAATTTCCATTATATTCTGTTTCTTTGTGTTTTGGCTACTTAGGTTTAAGAGAATAAAGTGGTTTATTTTCTTTGATTTAGGTGACTTCAGAATGATAATTGGAGAAGACGGGTTAAAGGTGCAGAACATTGTGAAACCTAATGTGCCCCATTTTCAGAAGCTCTATGCTAACATATTACAGGACTGCCCTCAGGTAGTATACAAGCATCAGCTTGGAAGGCTGGAGGTAAGTGGTGCATGTTATACCTTTTTAAATCCACAAGAGAGAGTGCTTAATTCTTTGAGAGACTACAGGAATTACACCATGCACTTCTGTGACTTTTTGTGTATTTCCTCTGTCTCCCATATATTATTCTTGGATTAATCAGCGAAGGCAACAGCTGACAAACATGGCACAAATGCCAGTCGCTAAGACCAAGGCTTGGTTAACGCAAATAGTAATTAGTGTTCAGTTTATTGGGTCATTAACAGGATCAGCTTGGCAAGGGAACAGGTAAAGGGTGTTTTAAACGGGGATCAGCAACCCGCAGCACATGAGGCCATTTTGCTCGGTGCAGCATCACCAGCCCAGGCTCTGGACAGCTACTGCCAGCCATGGAGCCTGGGCTGCTCCCAACAGAGGCCTGAGAGGCTTCAAGCCTGCTGGAAGCAGCCCAGGCTCCATGGCTGGCAGAAGCTAAGGCTTGGCTGGCTACAGCCAGGAGGCTGCAGATAGCTGCTCTGGAGCCCCTGCATCAGTTCCATACAGCTGGTGGCTGCACACACACCTGAGAGCAGATGGCAGGGGAGGGGCCAGAGGCAGCACAACCCTGGCCCCTCCCCTGACATCCACTCAGGCACATGTGCAGCTACCAGCACAGAGGTGATTTGCAGCCTGCCTGCTGCCTGTCACAGGTGCCCAGAGCCCAGGCTGGCTACAAACAGCTGTGCCAGGCTCCAGAGCCCCGGCATCAGTTCTGTGCTGGCAGTGACAGCACGTGTGCCTCAGAGCAGACCGCAGGAGAGGAGCTGGGGTTCTGCTACCTCAGTCCCTTCCCCCACCGTCTGCTCTTGGGCTGGCACAGCCACTAGCACAGAGCTGATGTTAGGGCCCCAGAGCAGGGCAGCACCAGCCTCTTCCCAGTTGGACCAAGGCTGGGCTTAGCTGGGCTGGGAGGCTCTACCCCTCCCAGCACTGCTCCTGCCACCTGCCCCACTCCTGCTTGCTACGAGCCCAGCCCCTCCACTGGGGAGAGGCTGGCATTGCCCCTGCCAGGAGCACCGCGCCTTTGTGGGCTCAGCTGCGCAGGGAGGGCAGATGACAGCATTACTGAGAGGGGTGGCTACAGAGGGGCTAAGGCAAACTTTGGGGTTGTTAGCTTCCCTCCTGCACTGCCTCTGCAGCTGGCTGATGGGCGGGCTCTGGGCCAGGGCCTCAGCAAGTTATGCTGCAGCCTGGGTGCTGGCTCCCCAGAGAAGCACAGGGGCTGCAACAGGCCCAGGGTGTTGTCGGGTTGGACTTTGTCCTGCAGCCCAGTCGCCTAGCCGTGTGCGTGTGTCTGGTTCTGTGGTACATCTCTGGTTGTGTCTGGTTCTGTGCATTTCTATCTACATGTGTATGTCTGGTTCTGTGTGTGTGTGTGTGTGTGTGTGTGTCTGGTTCTCTCCTCTTTTTTTCTCTCTCTTTTTCTCTT